GATGGAGCACTGACTACTGCTTTATGGATGAGCAAGTGACAACCCCATCAATTAATAAAAATATATACATTAATGATTTATGGACTGTCATTTCATGGGTAGCCATAGGCATCTTAGAGTTCTAGATTACCAGAGCCAGTGTGGGAATTAACAATGTCCTGGTGTTAACAGAAAGGCTGATATTGCTTCATGTAAAAAAAATAACTGAAATTTTCTGTGAAATTTCCTCTGAATTTTGGGTTTTCATTTTTTAACATGTAAATATTTACTAAAACAGCAAAACCTTTGTTCTATAATCGGTCCTGCCCATGAAACATGCTAGGGCAGTGGTGTTACAGACCTTAAGAAAGTAACCAACCAACATCTCATTTGACTTAAGGCCCACCCACAAGATGGAACCAATACCAGACACTGATTGAGTGACGAAGACCCAGAGACTCAGGGTAAAACCAAATCCTCTTAGTCTAAAAAAGCATAACAATAAGATGACTCCTGGTGGTACTTTGCTGTAATCACAGATCAGTGATTTGCTCAGTCATCATCCTCCATCAGATGGGAACAAAGACAGAGATTCATACCCAGACATGAGAGGGAGAAAGATAGCTGGGAGCACTCAGTTCTACATGGAATGCCTCCATCAAATCCCTCCCCTCAGAGCTCAGGGAACTTCTACAGAAGTGCAGGTAGAAGGAGTTTAAAAGCCAGGGTGAAAGGAGGACACCAGGAGAACGAGCCTCTCTAAATCAACTTCGCAAAGCTCATGGGAACTCAGAGATAGAGCAGCAGCTCAGGGCCAAGATGGGTCCTTCTCCGGGTCCTTCTCCAGGTCCTCTGCGTATGTATCATATCCTTGAGTTCACTACTTGCATGGGACTTCTGAGTTGTGAACGAGCTGGACACTGATTCCGGTGCCTCGCCTTGGGGCTCTTTACCTTCTCTTGTTTTGCCTTGTCTGACTTTGATGTGATGGTTTGTGTTTTTATCTTATTGTATTTTGCCATAAACAAATAAATAAAAAGCCCCCCCCAAGGCATTGGCTAGACACAGGCCATTTCATTCACTGTTTCTCCATCATACCTACGGCCTACTGAGTAGCACCTCATCTGCTGCTGTCTTCTTTCTCATCCATACTAGGCGTCTTCTATTTAGCGCCTGAAAATTAATTGCACGATGCTAGTCCTACCTGGCAGAAACTTCACCTTTGGAGTGGAAGCATGCAATGAGTAGTTAGGCCAGCTGCTATTATCAGGGTATATTCAGAAGATACTGTATTCAGCCTCCCTGGGATTTATGGCAGGTAGAGCATTATCTAAATGAGCAGGAAAAAAAATCAAGTGAAAGTCTCTGACATAACTAACTGTAAAATATCATAAAACAAATAAATTAATTCAACCTCTGCCTCCGAGTTACATTTGCAGAGCATCGCTTTTGGTTAATGTCTTTTTGAAAGAAGGATTGCCAAGCTGTGCAGGAAGGAAGCATTTTAGAAACCGTTCCTTGATAATTGTCACTGATATGCTTCCAATTTACAAAATGGCTCTGCCTGGGAATGAAGAACGCCCTTTGCTGTGGGGTGGGTGGCAGGAGAGTTTTATCGGGACTGTGTTTTCTGAAATGGTGGAAGTTTATCTGAACTGCTTCCAACTCTAAGGAATGGAGTCTGAGGAGACAGGTGGGGAATGTAGTGAGCATATGTGGATGACGCCAGGGATATTTACACTGTCTGATCTCAAAGAATAATGCCACTTTTCCTATCAGCTGCAGTGGAGTTACCAGAGTTTTCCTCCAACTACAGGCTAGGATAAAGGCACTCAGACCAGTGTGATCTGGTGAACTCGCCATTGTGCTCTCATCAGACATTCTCCACCCGCTCTCAGGGGGAAGCATTTAAAGAGAACACAATCCGGAAATGAACTATTCTGCTGTGGTATACAGCAAGAAGGGAGGTTGTGCTCACCGCCCTGCTGTGCAAGCGTGCCGTGGGGGGAGGGCATGTTTGCAAAATCTACAATGCCAGGGTGCTTCCTGAAGACATGGGAGGCCAACATCTCTGTCCTCTCTGAGAGACAAAGGAGAGATAGCTGGAAACATGGAAGGCGTGGGTATGTTTGCACTGGCTTCATGTAGCTTGAATACACAGTCTAAATTAGTAAGCATGGAGATGACTGGCTGCGGGGAGGACGTTAGGAGTTTTCTTTTGTGTCAGTCTTCCAGAGAGCCTTCCCTCTCAAAGAGTTAACAGAGCACGTGCTGCCCGTATTTATCTCTGCAGCTCTTTATTGAGTATCTGTTTTGATACCCATGTTGTTCTGGATCCTGTGACTGTAATGCCAGCAGAGTCAAAGAAAGGATTGCTCTTCTTGCCCTTGCTTGGGGTGGTAACTGCCAGAAATCAGTAGCAGAAAGTAATGAGCAAGAATTAAGTCTATATAGCCCTGGGATTTCTTTAAAAACTATGAAGGGGGCAAGAGTAGGGTGGCTCAGGGAGTGAGGAATGAATGAGAAAGGACAGCCATATTCGGCTAAGGAGACCAAGGGTGGGAAGAGAACGCAGGAAGGGAAAAGGAAGTATTGGAGAGATGAGAATCCTGTGTGACTGGAGCATGGCTAGGAAGAGGTATACAAAGGTTAGCCATGCTCACACCAGCAGTAACACAGACAGTAACTAGCCAGGGCATGGACTAGGCTTATTTTCAAGGACAACAGGAACACTGGAAGGCTCAAACTTGGAAGAGCAAAATGACATAAGATGCTGATCACTCACAAGCTGCACGATGAAAATTGAGTCTAGGGAGGAGAGTTAGAAAATGCATTGGTTTTCTGTGGTAAGAGAAACACAACTGACACATCATCATACATGGCTACCGTTAGACACCTAATGCCCAAAGTTAAAGATCCAGGGAAGGACCTACCCTAGTTACAGGAGCTTCTTCTTACGCCATGTGAGCTGGCAGGATGACTTCTCTTCAGAGATTAATGGAGTGTATGTTTGGACACTACATGTACTCCGTATGGCAGATATCTGTAGCAATACTTCAGAAAACAAATGCTCTTTCAAGCCATCAGTACTGATAAAAAAGAATAAATAAATCTCAAACCAGAAATCTTGGAAAATGACAGCTTACATTCAAGTGGTTAGAAAAATGTATATAAGATTTTAAAAAGACAGCGACAAGTTTGAGGGAAGGTTGAGTTGTGTTTAATGCCATTAAAAATGTCATGATCCAGTGGACTTGTGGCACACTGTCTATTATTAATGCCAATAGAAATATGACTTCCTAGAGCCAATGTGTCATGGGATCATGAAAAGTGTCCTTAGCACCGCTAGATATGTCAGATGCGGGCTGACTTCCAGGAGCAAAATAAAACCATGGCAACATGCCATCCTGGAGACACACATGGAATACAGTGGCACCTACTGCATCCGAGTCCACAGAGTGCTGTAGTTCTGAAGCTACCAAGGCAGTGACTTCTTAGGCGTAACTGTTACTAAGACGCTGGAACAATAAACCAAAGGCTTGCACTATGTCAGGTGACATGGAAGAAATTTCACACAGCAGTGATGGCTACATGAAAAAGATTGGACTGGGGTCAGGGCTTGAGTCTGATCTCACTCCAGATGCCACGTGGTAATTTGGGGTCACATGGGTGGAGGGAGGAATGGGCCATCTGTGAAAAGGATGTCCTTAGTAGCCTCTTAAGGGCTCAGAGCAACTCATTTGTATCTGAATAAACAATAACATCATGTTGACACAGAGTCTGCTTAAACATTGCTCCATGACCTTTGTAGAAACTGAAGGAAGATGTAAACAAACCTCTCAAATGTCTTAAATAACTAGCTTTACTTTGTAACTCTTGCAAGATGAGTTTTCACCAAAGAACACTACACAGTGTGGCTTTTAGTCCTAGTCTAAGTGGAATACAGCCATGAGCACCAGAGAAATCATTCCCACTAAGTCATAGCTGTTCCTTTCAGTGAGAGTCACAATCTGTGTCATCTAAAGATGACATGTTCACACATATGTGTAAGTATATGCATACATATATGTATGTGATGCATGTGTATATATACACAAGTGAAGGGACTTGTGATAAATGCACACTTCCCTTAGTTTTCTAGGTTGTGTTTTGCTTTTGGAAGACAGTTTGGTATCACGGCGCCATCCCTGCAGGATCCACTGGAGCGGTCAGTCATCTTTCCTACACGTGGACTTCACTGGGGCTGCAGTGTTCCTGGAAGGGGAGCGGTCACCATGTGCTGTAACCTTTCAGGGATAATGAACTGTGTTCAGCAAACCAACATGTTTGCATGGCTCTATCTTCCCCTTTCTTGTCAGGCCAGGGTTCGCCACAGCTTGATAGTTTAGAACTCAAGTATTCTCAACCTGCGGTTTGCAACCCTTTTGGGGGTCAAATGATGATTTTTACAGGTGTCGCCTAAGACCTTTGGACAACACAGATATTTACATTATGATTCGTAACAGTAGCTAAATTACAGCTATGATGTAGGAATGAAAATAATTTCATGGTTGGGGGGTCACCACAACACGAGGAACTGTAGTAAAGGGTCACTACATTAGGAAGGGTGAGAACCACTAGTTTAGATGCTGAGATCTCAGTTTTAATTGTTACGTCTGTCTATTTATCATGCACACAATTCAAAATATGAATGCCTTTAACATTCCCCATTGTTCAGCAACAATTTGATACTAAGTTTTAGTGTTGAGAGGGTCAAAAGCCTGAGGCTGAAATGCCTGGATAGGTTTGTTGCATTATAAACTCATGAAAGGTAAGTTGGTATTGAGGAAAAGAAGTGAAGTTTCTGTAACTGGAGGATTTTGGTACCTATACTCATTTTTGTGATTTTTAATAGAAACATTTTCATTGTCTTTCAGAATTTCATATACTATATTTGTGATCACATTGAATCTCATTTACAGCTCCTACTCCTCCAGAATCCATGCCACTCTCTATCCAGGCACCCAAATTTATGTTCTCTTTATGTCTTGAATTTAAGAATCCATCAACTCTAATTTGTGCTATCCATTTACTTCTAGGCATTGGGCCACCCGCTGCACCAGAAAACTGACTCTTTCTTCCCCAGAAGCCATCATGAAGCTCTCCTCCTGTCTTGTTGCCTTCTGGACTGACTTGCTCTTATGCGAGTCTTGTGCAGGTAAGCACTTGTGAATTCATGGTTGCAGGGGGTCCTGCCATTTCCAGAAGGTAACGTTCTGTCCTCCTGACCTCTGGCTCTGACACTCTTCTCAGTCTCTCTTCCGTGATGGCCTCTGAGCCTGGGAGAAGGGCTGTGATGCAGACCTTCCATTTCTGGCTGAGCACTCCATAGGAACTTGTTTTCTCTACTTTGGCAAGTTTTGAGCTTCTGTTCTAATCACTGTTCACAAAGAAACTTCTCTGATGAGGTCCGAGAGCCACACTGATTAATGAGTATGGAGAGATAAAGACGGAGGGCAGCTTGATATAAATGGGTCTATTATTTATTTAGCAGACACACTGCTGTAGGTTCACCCCTAGGAACTTGTGTTCCCTTCAATGAAGCAAATGTTAGGAAGTAACTGACCATTTTATGGTAGACTTTAGTCCCTGTACTTATTAATTGTATCCCCACTAAAAAGTGAGGCAATGGAGAAATGCCTCCATTTTGAAATGCCTTCTTTTGAAAAAAATCAAAATATAATATTATGGAACATTACAGTTAAATAAAATATTCTTTAGCACTTAATAGTCAGAAAATTTTATAATGGACTATAAGCACTCAATGTCAGCCAAAATATTTTTTTCAATCAGCCAAGAGACCATGATTTTTAAAAAATTAATATAAACCCACTTTGAAAATACTATAGATGTATAATTTGTGATTTATGTTTTTCTACTGTGAGCATCTTTATGTCTAGTGTCTTGATGCATGAGTACTATTTTTGCTCTGGATAAAAGGTCTGCAAATCACCAAGCAGGGAAGCAACTGGGCACATATTAAAAATTCTGATTAAAATTTGTGAATTATTTCCAGGAATGTATTTGCTAATTGGAGTTTCTCCAAATGTTACGTTAAGTTGCAGATGTATAATAATCCCCCTGGTACAATTAATTCCACAGTAGGAAAAGCCCTGGTCAAATGTCCAATACTTTTATCAGTCTCACAGTATGTCACAAAGTTGCCTTGCAGAAATAATTGTGTTTACCCAACAATAAATAATACCGTCAGTTGCCAAACTTTTCTGGGTTATAGCCCCATTCGCCTTGACAAAGGTGTGTTCAACAAAGACGAATGCTACAGTTTGTGGGGGTGGTGTTTTAAAACAGAGGGAGAAAAGAAAGCAAAGTTCTTGGTATCCAGTCTACCACATCAGCATCCAGTTTACACCAGACAACTCCATACATGGCTGTGAGTGTGTGAACACAGGCAAATGCCCCTTCAAGCCAGGGGTTGCTCAGTGCATAATCTAGCACAGCTTCTTTCAAATCAGCAACTCCTGGTAAAATATGGTAAATAAGTATTTAAATGCTGTATATCCACACATCCTGTCTCATTTGTATTTTCTATGTATAAAATTCTCTGTTTCATCAATTATTCTGGAAAACTGGAATAACAGTTTATTTTGCTGTGTGACTTTGTCTTACTGATAGTCTTCTAAAAGAAATAAAAAAGCAGTTGATCAGAAATAAATACTTAGTAGGCAGCCAATCAAGGCATTAATATCATGGTTATTAATTTATACAAGACACTACAGTTTTCTTCTCTTGCATTCTGTTACAGTTAACTTGTCCTTGCATGCCACCACTAGCTGTTTTAAGTTGTGTATTTGCCCACAATAACAAAAATAGAATAGTGGAGAACCATTCTTCACTATGGAAACACAAGATTTATATTTGTAATATTTTATTATTACACAAATCCATGTCAGAATTGTCAATAGTTATTTAATGCTACATTATTTAATGTAGGAAAAATAAAATGGTTTCTGTATGTGCTAAACCAAAGAAAATACATGCAGTATTATATATGTATGCATATATAAAAGATCTACAACAATCCTTTTTATGCATATGTTTATGTACCATGTACATGCAGTGTGCCCTTGGAGGCCAGAAGAGGGTGTTGGATCATCTCAGACTGGTGCAGTAGGAGTTTGTGAGCCACAATGTGGATGTCAGCAATGGAACCATGGTCTTGTGGATGATCACTCAAAGTTCTCAACAGACCCTAGATACATCTTTTAAAACTAATTGTCCAGTACATATGTTCAGGGACCAGGAGATGGTTCGGGGAGTACAGTTGCATACTACTGAGCTTGATGATCCCTGGACCCTCAGGTAATGAGAACATATTTCTTACAGGGTAACCTCTGACTTCACAAATGTGTCACAAAGCACACACACTCCCCTCTATGATAAACAAATGTAACAGACAATTTTTTTTGCTTAAATAACTGCAAAATTGTTCTCTGAGTAGTTTTTTACTTACATGTTATCTAGTTTACATTGGCTTGAAATGGCACTTTATTGAATATTTATAGCAGTCTCTCTCTTTTTCTTTGAATGGCGATATTGAACCAGCTTCTGTAGAGGAGATTTAGTTCTCTGAACCCTCCGATCCTGAATACCAGAAACCTACAGCTTCTAATTAGCTTCACAACTGGAATACAGGCATGCCATTTGCATTTGGAGTTTGAGAACCAAGGGCCATTAGTGATTCAGCAGGTAGAGTGATTTTCTACTTCTAATGTCACAAAGGACATTCTGCAAATGTTGAAAATCCTTACACCAGAAACTGTATTATTAACTTGAAATCTACTGTTACATTTCAGGAGCCAATAAGGGTTGCTTTCTGTAGCATCGTTGTAGAGGTAAGTCTCAGGCATCATCTATGTTCTCATCTTTCCACATTGAGGATGCAAAAGTTGGGTTTCCAGTGGTTGGGGAATCTTTTGGAGAAAGTTGCTAGGCTTTATTTATAATGAATATGTAACAGTCAAACTGTAGGCTCTCCCTCTGTTTCCCACTATTTTACCCTCAGAGGAGCATATCTCTCTAGATACATAATTTAGCATATTTCAAAGTAGGACATACAAGCAGAGTACAGCTGAGTTAGATCTTTCCACATCCCTCTCCTGAGAATTGTTGTGTCCTAACATACATCCCTGGGAACCACAGCTGACCTCCTTCTGGTTACCTTCTTTGTCCATGGGAACCTGCTCCAAGTTGTGTTCATCATGAAAAGTGAATTAACACAGACAGTGTTGGACTGCATTTCTAAGCTCTCCGGATAGCCATATCCAAAGTGTGCCCTCGAGGAAAACTAACCCTGGAAATTTTCAGTCATCTGGGTATGGTAAAGTTACATGCCAGTGACTTGTGTGTTGACCTCTGACCTTAAAACTGGATATTTCAAGTCTTGTCTAACTCACAGTCTGCTTGGGATACATCAGAAAATTGGGGTGGTCACTTACATCACCGCTGTGCTACAGGTCCCAGTCAGTGCTGACGTCACTCTGCTGGTACAGGGTTGGCCCAGCCTGAATGAAGCTAGTCATCCTGGAACTTGGAAGATCAGATACTTTAATGAGGCTGGGATCAGCTTGGGCTACATGAGATCCTTGGTGGAAGGGGAAGGGACAAAGTGAAACATAGAATTGAAATCTATCTACACCGAGGGTTTAGCCGAGAGAATCCTGTACACAAGGTCACAGAGAGAGATGGTCTCAGGTTCTAGTCCCACATTCGTGCTCTAGAAGAACCCTCGTTGCTCTTCCTGTGTCCTCATGGTTGATTTTCTCTTCTGTCATAACCATTTCCAGTGTGGAAAATGGGATGCCGGAATTCACTTTTTCAACAGACTTAAGACGATGCTGTACTTGGAAGTTGCCCTCTGGAATGGAAGGACCATGATGACATCTGACCAGGACTCCATGTCAGCTTCCCTTGGAGACACCTGCTCAGGTGTACCGGGGCCTCAGAAGCAACGCTGCTAGGACATCTCACAAACCCAAGGACAAGATTCCCATTCTTTGACACTCTGCTTGTAGCACACTCAAGAGTCCCAACCTATCAGGAACAGCGATGTGCCATTGGGGGGACTTCCCTGATTTATCTGGGAATGAGGGAGGGAAGAAGGTCTTGAGCCATGGTCTCAGTTTCCCAAGAGAACTGTGAGGTTTCTTGTTTGCATGTTTGTTTGTAAGGAAAGTGGGTGAGGCCCACCGTAGGGCTGCTTCGAGTCTGTGGATCTGAATAACGTGGATAGAGATGAGTCTCTTAGTAGAAGAGAGAGTGTTGGGGAAGTCCTGTGTCAATAAAGCACTGCTGGCCAATAGGAATCTAGATAGGTGGGACTAGGAGTCCAGGAGAACTCTGGGAAGGAGAAACACAGAGAGTCAAGATTTAACGCCATGGGGTAGGAAGCCCGGAAACCTCTCCAGTAAGAGAAATACTTAAGTAATTACCCCATAATTGTTAATCTAAGTCAGAGCTAGCCAGTAAGAAACAAGCAAGGCCAATAGCTTCATAATTAATACAGCATCTTGTCTGTTATTTGGGGACTACAACGCGGCAGAGCCCAGGTGACTGGCGGGTGATAAACCAAAGCAGCTAACAAGGAAAGGCTTCTCTTTACAAGAGAGAATTACCAAAAAGGGAAAAAAGTATCTTTTGCCATAACCAGCTGTAACTTTGTAGTCAATCACTCTTAGCCTTCTTCCATCACCACGGCTTAACCTTCCAGCTGGCTAGCCAACCCTGGATATAGTCTGCTGTATGGATTTAGGGCATGCTTTAAATTTTCAAGTAAGCAGCACGGATCCCAGCAGATGTTTCCTCCTCTAAAATTTTAACACAGAGGCAGTGCTTGGCACAGACTCAGCCCTTACTTTCATGGCCACGATGAGATGGGGACAGAAGAGGAAAGTAATCCGTCACTCCCTGACACGCTGCCATGTGTGACAGAACGTGATGCGAACAGACCTCAAGTTCTACCGGCGATCGATGTAGCACTGTGAGACACACGGACACGACACCAAAACCTGCAAGTACCCTTCGTTTGCCTTAGATTCTAGAAACTATCATTTGTGTTAGCCCTGACGAGAATTTACGGAAGGCTGGGGACATGACTCCGCATGAGGTCCTGAATCCACATCTCCAGCCCCCCACTAGAAACAGCCTGTCATGGCTGCCCGCGTGCCTGTGGCTCCTGAACTGGGGATGAGTGAGGGCAAGAGGATCGCTGAGCTTTGCTGCCTTTCTCTGTGTTCAGGGGGATACCCTGTATTAAGGGAGTACAGTGAAGAGGGATAGATCGGGAGAACCGTATCTTCCTCCAGCCTCTGCATAGATATGGGCTCATGATTCCTCCACAAATGCGATCTTTTAACACACACATACACAGTTCTTCAGTGTTCTACCTACTAGCCAAATGAAATGCATGTCACTGTTATGGTCATCAAGGTATAATTTATACGAAGTAAAATGTGCATATCTGGTGTTTGGCTCTTAGTGTTTACCTGTAGACACACCCACATTCCCAGCACCCACACCGATGGATGGAACTCACCACTGATACAGAAAGCCCTTGACCATGCCTCTTGCCACAGGTTTGGGGCATGCACTCTTGTATGCAGCCCATATCTCTTGAGTTTTCTTGCTGAGGAGGAGCCCACTCCAGCATGTTCTATAGCTTTCCTACTGAGAGAGAGGCCTGGGGGTTTCCATTTTGTGCTATTGTGAATTAAGCTACATGACATTCTCATGCATATGTGTTTATTCCTCCTGAATATATGTCCCTAAAAATGGATGTAACACCAGGTGTAATTTAACATTCTTTTCAATTGCTGTCATTTCCGAGAGTATTTGACACATTTTAAACTCCTACCACCCAGGCATGAAAATGCCAGTAATTCTGTGTCCTAGCAATTTGTGCTATATACATGTTGCTGTTTGTTTAGTTGTTGTAGAAAAGGTGTGGAGACACTAGGTTATGAGTGCCCCTGCTATTTTGACTTCAAAACAATGACCACATTATTTTGTGCACGAAACTGCATGCCTCTGGTTTCTTAACACAATTTAAACTTTTATTTTTGAAGTCTCCATGCAAGTCCAAGTGCCTCACAGAGAAGATGCAACCATGCCATCCTTGATTGCTGCCCAGGTCCCCTGGCCCTTGCTTCTGTTGGGCTGACTTGGTGACTTCTCTCATCGCCACGGTGCAAATCACGTATTCAATGTGATCCTCAGCTTAACTATCATCTGTTACACCACAATATAAAAGGCAGATCTTGCTAACATACATTTTACTTACCCTCTTTTCCTTACCAGTCGTGTTTATAGTTACATGATATTCTCCAGCAGTTTTAATGTTTCTCTTCAATGTTTCCTTGGCATTGACACCAATGTTACATTGATATGCTATATGCCAACTCGGCATATGTGAGGGTCATCTGAGAGGAAGGGAACTTCAATTGAGGAACACCTCCACAAGAACTGGCGGTTGGTAGGGGACGGCCCAGACCATTGTGATGGTGCTGGCTTCTGTAAGGAAGCCATGAGGAACAAGCCAGTAAGCAGCATCCCCTCCATGGCCTCTGTTTTGGTTCCTGTCTTGATTTCCTTCTACGGGGCACAGTGATGTGGAAGTGTAACCTGAGTTAACCCTTTCCTCCCCAGCTGGCTTTAGGTTAGAGTTTCATCACTGCCATAGCAACGCGAACTATGACGTTTGCCCAGCATTCCCTAGATCACCTCTCCCCTTCATCATCCTACCACCAGGCGTAAAGTTTCTTTTGTGATGTGGAGTCAGCATTGACAGCGAGTCTTGCAGGCACAGCTAAGTCCGTCTGGAACATCCTTAACTATATTAATGTGGAAAACCAAAAAAGGGCAGTAGGATTTACTTAGAAACTACGATGAAAACATTATCAGCTCCAGGACCATCAGAATGCTGAAGCTACATGTTTCCCTAACCGTTTCCAGCTGCCTGCTGCCCCACACTGATGGGAGATCAGTGGCTCTAATTCCCACCACATGTTGGGATGTGCACTGTCTCAATATACAGTTGCGGTTTTGTTTAACTTTCTGTTTTCTTCTAATTGTGATTTTGGGAGACTATTGGAGCTGAATGTGGTAGCACAAGCCTGTAATCTCGGAACCTTGGAGGTTTAGACAGTTGCACTAATGGTCAGAGGGCAGCCTTGGTAACAGAGCAGGACTCTGTCCCAAAAGCAGCAAAGACATCCTCTCACCGGAAAACCACTGTCTGCTGATCGGGGGCTCGGGTAGGCAAACTCCACTTTCCTTTACATCTTCCAGCCCCGGTTCTTCAGTCTCATCACCAGTCCTGTAGTAGACTGCTCTCAGTGACATGTGACATGCCTTCACTCTCTTCTTCCATCCCCCATAGACCCCACAGAACCTTATGGAAGACCCAACTTTCCCCACACTTCTAGCCCATTCCAGCACGTCAGCTCCTACTACCTAGAAACAAGTTCTACAGATTCAGAAGCATCCCCTCCCAGGACAGCCACAACATGCTCTGCAAGAGGCAGAAGAAAATTTCCCTACCCTAAAGAAAAGAGATACCCATCAACACATAAGAAATATATAGAACACTGAACACATAGTAATCCAAACACTAAATATACAGAACAAAGAAAGGATATTAAAAGCTGCAAGGGAGAAACACAGAGGAACACATAAAAGCAGGCCTATTAGACTAACACCTGACTTTTCAGTGGAGACAGAAAAAGACAGAAGGGCCTCGATGGATGCTATACAAACTGAAAAAGACTACAGATGACAACCCAGACTACTATACTCAGCAAATTTTCAGTTATAATAGACGGAGAATCAAAGATATTACATGATAATACCAAACTGAAGCAGCACCTATCTACAGATTCAGCTCTATAAAAGGAGCTAGAAGAAAACCTGGACAGGTCAACCACCCCCGAGAAGACACAAGGAATAAATAATCTTAAACTAGCAAATCAAAGGTGGAGACGCACACCACAAGGACAAAATAATGGGAATCAACAATCATTGCTAATTCGTAAGTCTCAACATCAGTAGTCTTAACTCCCTAATTAAAAAATACACAGACTGGCTACAAAAACGAGGACCACTTCTCTTCTATATCCAAGAATTATACTTTATAAACATCAAGGCTAGACATAACCTCAGGGTGAAGGATGGAAAAAGATATTCCAAGAAAATGAACCCAAGAAACAAGCCAGTGCTATCTATTTCAATATCTGACAAAATAGACTTCAAACAAAAATCCAAAGAGATAAGGAAGGACACCATATACTCATCCACGAATGGATAATGCAATTCTAAACACCTATGCACATGAATTTATAACAGAAACACTTCAATAGCTAAAATTACATATTGACCCTCACACAGAGATAGTGAGTGACTTCAAAACCCAACTCTCACCAATGGATATGTCATCAAGACAAAAACTAAAATGAAATGCTGAAGCTAAGTGACATCATTGCACCTAATAGATGTTTATAAAACATTTCACCCTAACACCAAAAGAATATGCTTTCCTCTCAGAAGCTCATGGGACTTGCCCTGAAACTGATCCCATTCTTGGATACAAATCAAGTCTCAAAAGTTTGATGTCTAGAACAATAGAAAGCTTACCAACTGAAACTGAATGATTCACTACCAAACGAAGAATGGGACAAGACAGAAATAAAATTTTTTGACTGAAAGAAAAAACAACATACCCAAACTTAATAGGACAATGAGATATCAACCACGTTCACTGCTACTCTGTTCAAATAGCCAGTAACTGGAAACAGCCTACATGTTCATCAATGGATGAATGGATAAAGAAAACATGGTACACTTAACATAATGGAATATTTCTCAGCTGCTAAAACAATGTAATCATGAACTTCACAGATAATTGAATGGAGCTAGAAAAAGTTCATCCTGACTAAGGTAACACAGACCCTAAATGACAAATACGGTGTATATTCATTTATATGTAATGTTAGCTGCCATGTCTTTGATAAGCAGGCTATACTTCACATAACCACAGAGTGTAGGGATTGAGAAGAAGGGAAGGGTCTCCCTAGGAAAGGGAACTAGAATACATAATAATAGAAGGATAAGAGAGTTGGAACAGGAGGATCAATCAAGGTTGGAGAGGCAGGAAATATAGGTAGAACAGCTGAAAAGAATGGCCATATGAGGCATGATATGGAAACCTACTGAACTAGAAGCTTCCTAAAATGTATGAAGACAATATAAATTAAATTGCCAAATAATAGGGGAGGCATCTCATCACCGGGAATGGGCTACATCTAATCTAGTTGTTAGCCAGTGGGGTCCCATGGGAACCTCTGAATAACCCAGGCTGCTCCTAAGCCCATATATAACAATGGGAAGACTTGAGTAATGCAGACAGCACCTACATGGCTCACTCTGGTGTCTGCCTTGAGCCTTCACGTCTAGTAACTGGAAGGTGCCCTGAATGCTGCCAAAGGATAAGGGTAGATACCAACCCAGCTATTAACCCTTTGATCTATAATTGTGACTTGTATGCAAGATGTGTAGTACAATAGTGACACACACCAATGGATATCTGATTAGACTTAAGGCCCACTCCATAGGATGGAAACCATCCCTAATATAGCTTGGGTGGCCAAGGACCTGAGACTAGATAGGCTGGTGACCTAGGGGAAAACCAAACACTCCTGTTCTGATGAAGTAACTTTTGTGACAAAATGACTTCTAATGACATTCTGCTATGCTCATAGGTCAGTGTCTTGCTCAGCTGTCATCAGAGGAGCAGTTGGGGATAAATACAGACTGAAATAAATTGAAATCTTTATTGTGGATTGTTCTTTCAATGTGTTTCAAAGGAATATTAGAAGTACATAAGTTAACAGTGATCATGTTTTTCTCATTGACCCTTTAATCACTTTTTTTTTTTACCAGTTACGGTACTTCCTGTTTGAAAATCGTCTGTGATAACTTTGTAGGATGAGTTTTCTTTCCTGGATGCCAGTCCCAAGGAACTACAAATGACTTAATATTACTTATAAAGTCTTGTCCAATAGCTCAGGCTTATTACTAACTAGCTCTTACAACTTAAACTGATCCATTTCTATTAATCTGTGTATTGCACTGTGGCTTTAACTGTCCTCCAGCATGTCTTGCTCACTCTGTGTCTCCTGGTGACTGCACTGACTCTACCCTTCTTCCTTCCAGAATTCTCAGTTTGGCTAGCCTGCCTGTACTTCCTGCCTGGCTACCAGCTTGTCAATTCCTTATTAACTAGTAAGAGTAATACATATTCACAATGTACAGAAAGACTATTACACAGCAGACATCCTTAAACTATGTGGACTCTTGATAGTTTCACAATGTATGTCTTCAGATGTTCAACCTTTCTATGCCTTTGCATTAAGGTTTATTTCTTAGGGCCACTAGATTTTGTAAATCTAGTGAGCTGTACTTGTCTCCCCTCAGACTCCCTTTTCTCCACCATATTTGGAAAGCTCTGACCTCATTAAGTGTAAGATTTGGATAGTGTTCATATCTCAGCCAACCAATGAAGCAAGCTATTAGAGTTGGGTCCAAATGACTGAACCAGGGCAATAACTACCGTATGTGAGAGAAGCACGTCTGTATCCATCAGATTGGACACATCTAAGATTCCAGTCTCCTCTAGACTCACCCCTGAGTACTGATTCTGTTTTTCTATCTGCCCCAGGAAAATTGTCACAAGATGTTTGGGACCCAGGATGCAAACTGCTTCTAAAGACAAGGAAAAGATTCACCAAAATTTATAAAAGAAACACTCATATAGCTAACACTACATATTGCCCCCCACTTAGTGATAGTGGGTGACTTCAATGCCCCATTCACACCAATGACAAGAAATCAAGACAAAAAAATTAGGGATTTAAGATGGTCAGTTTCACCAGAGCTCCAACATCTGTCTAAAATGTCAGACCCTCATCAAAGGATGGCTCCATCCTTCAAGGTAGAAAGCTGGCAAGGCAGAATGCAGCTCAGGTCCTCAGACTTGGCTGCAGGTGTCACTATTCACTGAACCTGTTAGGCACTGAAATATTGCCACTATAGGAAAATCTTATGGGATGCTTTTTTGAAGCTTGTTCTGTAGTAGAAGAATCCAGGAAGCAAGGCGATGCTCACAAATACTTGTAACATCCACTTCTGGTCTCTACAGAAACTACACACATGTGGCGTACCCTAATACAGATATGCACAAAACAAAGTAAAATGTTAATAAAAATGAAGCACCCTTATGTCACAATGACACATGAATCTGGAAGCGTCAGGTAGAGGGGGTGAGCAAGTGTTAGCAGATTAATGATTGCTGCTACAGCAGGTGCTAGCCCCAAAGGAATGCCGTTTAGAGACAGGGGGGTGTGAGTCTTCTAAAAGGAATATGTCTCTAAGATTATTTAACAGCTATGAATTTTGTACCTCTATCTTTGATAGATGGAAAACCAAAAGTGATGGACCAGAAAGAAAAGCCATCCTTCCTTAGTCATGATACAAACTCTAGGGCAGATTTGTTCAGCACCGGCAGATGACACAGAGAAAAGGACAAACTGAGATGTCAGATTTAGTGTGTGGTGGAGAGCTCCCCGCTACGGAGTGAAATCAGAGGAGAGATGGGTGCAGCCACGGTTAACTTAATACACAGCTATCACACCAGGAAACACTGACTCAGCACGTATCATCAACAGACTCATAAGTCAAGCTTGTGACAACACAACACATTCTTCTGAAAAAGTGACCTGGGAAACAATATGATAACAGGAAGTATGCACATCATACTAGTTACTCTGAAAAATATTTGATAGAAACAGTTTGAGAGAGGATAGGCTAAATTTCTATCTCATCAAGGTAGGAAAGACATGGCAGAGTTCTCAGGAGGAGGAGCATGCAGAAAAGGCTCTTCATAGCTTACTGAATGAGGACACAGAGTTCTGGGATGGAACAGGAAGGGGCTATCACCGTCAAGACTCACCCTCTCAGACACCCAGGTCCTTCATCAGTTCCATTTCTAAAGAGTATTCCCCCATTTATAGACCAAGTGCTCACACTCGGAGGATAGTTTGTGCATGTAAACACACAGACTGCAAATCATTGCTGCAAAAGACAAGCAGAGTTTAGACTATTGGGTTGGCACCAGTGGTTTAATGGGCGAGCAAGTTTTAGAAGCTGTAATAGGATCTGGAGTGATGTCACAGTCGGTAAAGCATCTGCTGCAGAAGCCTGAGGACTTGATTTCAGATCCTCTGGCACTCTATGTACACTGTAGCAGAAGCAAGGGGGTGGCAGAGGCAATTAGATCCCCGGGGCTCACTGACGAGCCAGCCTAACTGCTGATCTCCAGGTTCAGTGACAGTCCCTCTCTCAAGCAACTCAAGAAGGCATTCAATGTTGGTATCTAACATTCATAAGCACCTTCCACATGTGTGCACACAGAGAGATGGGAAGACAGGATGGACAGAAGGGCAGGGAGATGATGGAGAGAGAAAGGAAGGGGAGAGAGGGCAGAGCAGAGCGAGGAGGAGTCCTAAGGAGACTTTTATTATGGAGTGGTATAGCTATAGCAACCCTAAGAACTGCTGCAGGTAAAGCTTTCTTCACTAAGAGTCTCAAAGCGTAGGTTGTAGTCATTGTGCAACAGCTGCTTAGGAACTGAAGGTCTTACCTTCTCTTCTTCAATCTACTTTTGTAGATCTAGCTTACCAGATACACTTAATCCACAAAGTCAACATGGGAATCAGATACAGTATTATATGTGAGGGCCCTTGGCAGATTATAAGGCAGTCAGGGTTTATTGCATGGCTATTAAGAAATCCATTTTATTGCCCCATTTAAACAAGTCAATTGCTTTAGAAAGAGTTCTCCCTTAAATGTTAATTCATTTTAGCACAAGGAAAACAAGGACATACTATGGATATTTTTACTAATAAATTTGTAAGTAAATTACAGATAAGCTTACCATGTTAATGAAATAATAGATTGTGTGTGTAGATGGAAAACTTGGTGTATGTGTGATGAAAAGAGACAGGTCCCTTCACTTTCTTCAGAACTGCAGAGACTGCTGTTTGTACACATTTGTGTTTAAGCATTCTGAACAGCTTGTTGCATCCCCATGTGAATAGAAGCCTCTAGAAATTCTGAGAGAAAGGACTGGGGATAAACTCTAGGCATTTACACCGTGGACTTCCGCTAGCCTTGGCTCTTCCCCCTGTGTGCTTTTCAGATGATCGTGTTAAATCTGTAATAAAAAGATCAAAATAGCTTGAAGTTTACAGCCTGACTTCCTGTGATACACATGCCAATGAGCGTATGTTCTTTACAAGCCCGGCTGAGAAAAATGGTGGAGTCTCTGAAATGTCAGGTTTGTTTGGTCACCAAAAAGATCTGGAGACTAAACATCTGCCCCGTGAGGGCCACAACATGAGGGCATCAACATGGCGACCTCCGGGAACTCGGTCACGTTAAGTTTTGCAGTGTGTGCCAGGTCATCCTCAAATTTCTTCTGAGGCTGAGTTCTGGGCTAGTTATTGTCTCGTCTTGATTTCAAAACCTCCTCGCCCACACAGCCAGCGGAGGTCACACTACAGCAGACACACACACACACACACACACACACACACACACACACACTGTGATGAGGCTTTTCCCTTCCCACTCTGATGGAATGTTTCCACAGCACATGAAACATTAAAGTCCAAGGTGGTTTTAATCAAAAGCTCAGCAACTCTTCGAAATTGCTTCCGATTCATTTACTAATGGAGCCTCTGGGCTAGAGAGAGGCTCAGCAGTTTAGAGAACTTGGGTTCAGGTCCCAGCACCCATACTGGGAAGTTCACAACCACCTGTAGCTCCAGTTTTGAGGTTTTTTGACATCCTTTTCTAGCTTCCCAAGATGCCTGCAGACAGGAGGTGGCCACAGATATACTTGGACATACATATATATATACACACATACATGCAGAAAATAAAATTAAACCTTTAAGACCATAGGCTCAGCCTGACAAACTGAGTTTGATCACTGGGACCATGGAGTGGAAGGAAAAATGGACTTCTGAAAGTTGTCCTCTGACCTTCATATGTATGCTACAGCATGCCGTGCCCCTTCCACAATCAAAAAATAAAAAAGAGAAAATTATTTCTCTCTGTGTAATGCAGGTAGCTAGGATATAATGGGAGGACTTTTGGGGGAATGTTTCAGTTAACTATCAAAATTTACCATAAACCATTACATCTAATGGGGAGCCCAGAGGACGAAACTCCCAGTATGGGCAGACACACTGGACCACCATGAAATGGAGGCAGTAACAGAGCCCAGTGCAGATGGAGTGATCGCCAAAGAGCTGGTGCATCAGCACACTGTGTGACATCGTGTGGAAAGTCCCAGTGAGATCTGGGGAAGCGATTCAGTGGTGAAAACAAAATGCTGTGTGAGGAGAGAGGCAGCTGCACTCAAATGGCTACTTTTAGTTAAAAGTATATCTGTCAGTCACATCCATGTATATATACATCCATTCATCCATACATACACACACATATGTATATATATATATATATATTTGTGCTTCCTGCTAATATTTTCGAATGTGATCCTTAACACAAACACTTAAGGCTCTATGTGAGATTATGATAACTTGTAATATGCAATTCAGTGGTTTATAGTTATATACTTCTAAGTTAACTCTTTGTGAAATTACAGGCAATCACTGAGATACAGGATGATTTCTGTTCTGTACACATCTATAGTGATCCCAGTTCCTAAGGACTAAGGCCAACAGGGCACCAGGATATACAGTTCAGGGCTTTCAATGAGACCTCTCTTCTGTGTGCAAGTTTATTTCTGAAGACACAATAGAATCATGGTTGTGCGTCTACCTTTGGATTGAGACTGTCCCTTGTTCTCCTGATGTTTAATTGTAGTATGTTCTGCAATGTCTCCCCTATATTGCTAGATAAAAATAGTTCCTAAGATAATGAAATACTCTGTTATGAAAGCAGATGAGTTTAGAGGCCAAACAATTGTATGCATGTGCAGGCAATTTGAAAGTGAACATTTGCTAAAAGGCAATGGTCGAGTCATTAGTGTCTACACCTGAATGCCACTGTGGTTGTATTGACAATTGCTCTTTGCAAGAGTGTAAGTGTTGTTTCTAACACACCTCAGGCTGCCACATGAACTTTCAGTAAGTAGAAAAAGGCCATACCTGTGGATGGGCAGCTGCAGTCACCATAGACAGCCCAAAGAGCACTCTGTCCCAATGGAGAGCAGCCACCACCCTCTGTAATCTGTGAAGATGAAAAAGAGGAGGAGGAAGGGGATGAGAGAAACAGTTCCCTTGATAAAGGTATGCAGACATGATTTCAATTCCCAGTACCCACAAGAGAGTCCCAGCACAGAGGGACCGTGCTTATACCCTGGCATTGCGGATGCAAAGACATTCCATTCCTGAGGCTTGCTGGCCCTAACTGGCAAGCTCCAGGTCTATAACAGACCCTGTCTCAAAGGAGGTGGATGGTGTTTGTGAGGATAGCAACCAAGGTTGTTCTTATCTCTCCACATGTATGTACACGCAAGAGCACATGCCTACACACACAGAAATAAGGAGATAAGTTCTTAAGGGAATCTCATTTCAGCAAGCATAGGGTGTGTTGAGGAATGTTCAAATTGTGAAAATTCCCTCCTTTGATCATCACTTCAGTGAATTTGCAATTGTCTTTTTCATTAAATCGCAGTAAGCTAATGAGAATGGTTATACTGCAGAAAGAAACTTTAATCAGAACGAAACCAGATCTTTGTCTTAACAAATGCTATGTAGCACGTTTCTATCTAAAGGAACAAAAAAGTAGTATTCAGGGCATAAAATGTTAAGAAACTTGACTACTGTTGTGTTTAGGTGAAAATTATGGGGCGATGATAGTTAAGTTCAAGGCTTTGCTGGTGCAGTAACACCAAGAGACTAAAGCTGGGGATAGGCCTCTGCTTCCCACAGCCACCCCTAATTAAAAGCTGTGTGGTGGTGATGGGTTCTGGGTATCATCTGACTGGACGCAGAGCACCCAGACTGCATTTCTGGGTGTAGCTAAGAGGATGTTCCTAGACCCGAGACAAAAATGAACCCACGAATTCAGCCGACCTAGGCTAGTGAGCCTCTCCCATGTGTGTGTCGGCCTGGCAGTAAGTTGGTGGTTTCAGTGAAACAAAAAGAAGGAGCTCACCCTTGTTTTCCTGTCTTTCTGCCTCAGTGGGGCATCTTGCCTCACCCTCTCTGTCCTCCAGTCTCAGGCTTACACCCCTGGGTCTCCTGTTTTCAGAACCTTAAAGCAACACTGAAATTGGCTGCTGGCATTTCCTGGTTTCCAGACCGTAATGATTGGACCTCTAAGCTCCACAATCCCCTAAGTCTACTGCATCACATTTGTGTATACATGTGAGATGTTGTATACAAGCAATCACAGTGTTTCAAATGCATACACACACACACACACACACACTCTTCAGTTCCTCTAGAGGACCCTCTCTAGCATAGAATTTGACAGCAAGAGTGATTGTAGAGGAACATTTTCTAACAAGGGTTTTCAGGTATGGGGCTGGAAATTGGTTGTCTGATCTTGTTAGACACAAAGATGCCGGAATCCCCACGTCCAGGAATAAATAGCGCATGGGCAATCCATGGCCTGAGCAACTTTTGAAGATACTAAGCTCTCCACACTGGGTATCCCTGATCAACCACCAGAAAGAAGCAAGAGGTTAGATGAAGATGCAAGTCACGCTCACAAACATTTTTGGAAAACTAGGAAATACAGAGACAGTTTCTGGTTGTTCCTAATGTCACTGGATGGCACATGAAGGACAGGAATGGGTGCCTGGAAATTGAGACCCAGCTCAAGTGCCACAGACACAGCCTAGGAGCTTACACACATGCATGTCTGTCCTGTTGCTCCCAGTACTGCCACAAACACATGGAGAACATAAACCTGCAAATAGTTCAGTTACAAGGTAATTTGAATTCCCAATCTCACAAGCCACCTGTCATTGAAGTAACAAGTTTGATGAGGAAAAATATATCAAAGATGTAGACTCTAATGCAACGGGAACATATGAGAAGACCCTGCCGAAAAGCTGTAGATATTAATTCTAACAGAAGCACCTTCCTCCACGCCAGACTTCCTTCTATCAATAATGGGAGCTATGTTTTTTTTAAACTATGATAGCTGCACACTGGGACAGAGAAATAATCACGTGTATCAGGGACTACTGACCAATGGCGCTGAAGAACACTGATCTGGGGCACCCATACTGTCACCGTAAGCAATGAGTAAGAGTGTTAGGAGATCTAGGGAGATGTCATGGCTGGGTATCTGCGTGCAGGCCTTCCTGTGATGATTTCCCAGTTCTAGCATGCTTAATTGTGATGATCCCACAGTGTTTCATGTTCTTGTGGGATGCGGGCTGTTACCTGGGAAAGCCCACATAGAGCAACCTGAGCTGCCTCTGCCTGGGTAAATAGATAATTGAAGGTGATACTGGACGACATCGTCAAATACTTGAAAGAGGCAGAGCTGTCGGTTCCCATTGCAAACCATCAACCTCTGACACTTGGTCTATGCAGAAGACAGAGGGGTTTTAGGGGATGGCAGTGGCTTAAAGAGGCTGGCCCAACTCCATTTATTTAGCCCAGTGTGTGCTCAGACAGATGACAGATCATAACCATGAGCTTGACCCCGGAGACTCTTTCTAGTGGCTGATAACGACACCCTATTGTTCTGAAATAACTGACTTGCATCTTTGCTTAGGTGAGGTAATAGTGGTTCCTGAAAGGAACATCTTCTCCTGAACTCCCTGAGTGTTTCACGACACTCGTGCAGTAGGCATAGACAGAAGGCCATTAGAACTGGTGATGATCAAGCTGACTTCGGTGGGTAACACATCTCACTGCCAGCAGCAACTGTAATAGTTTTAGCAAAAGCAATGAGAGTATGAGGAGACACACACGTGCCTTCCCCTCCCTTCCTGTCCATGTACAATGATGGGCAGATGCTGCCCGACTTCATGGCGCTCCACGCACACAACGTGCTTCGCGCCAACATGGAATAGATAGCATACTGCAGCCATTCTCGTGTTTTCATTTGGGCAGGTTCCTCTACATGTTTTCTGTTTGACTTGAAAATCTCTTTGGCCACAATCAGATGGAAAAACACTTTTTGAATGACACATTGTTTGACACATTTCTTTCAATTTATGTTTCCTTAACTGTTGGTGTTTGGGGTCACAGAAATAGTTACTTTTTTAATTTATCAATATAGAGTCTCAGGATAGAAAATCCTTTGGTCTGACTCAAATAGGTTTAATGCCCCACAAAGATGTCAATTCATGAGACTAAAGAGCCTGTTGTAGTCTTAGCGTGTGACTGCAGGACAGTCAGCATGGGGGGGGGGTGATGCCAGCTCACACAGGCTTCCCAGCAGGTTTTGAAAGATCAGACACGTGCCTGGAATAGTAGAGGACTATAGGCCCTGCCATTTACTTCCCCCATGAGCTTAGACTTTGATTGCTTCACCTGCAAATGAGAAGGCTCAAAGATTCTTAAGGCTATATTATTCCATGAATGTATTTCACACAGTGGATCATTCATTTTCTCTCTTTCAAAGTAATTCTTCTACAATGGCTTTCTGTAGCTCTTCACAGCATATAATTTTCTTTACTAAGGCACTCTGATTGTTGAGGCAAGATATAGCATGACTCATTCATGTATATAAACCCATTCAAAAATACATATGTGTTGGAAATTAAGATTTGCTGCTTTTCACTTAAACCGCCCTTACATTTCTAGGGTAGCATAGGCCTTAGGTTTATGGTGGGCAGTCTATATCAACCCGATTCCTCTGGGAAATAAGGTTAGAAAAATCATAGCAATCATAGGACTTAATCTTGCCCAAATTGAAGCTTTCAGGGCATGCTCCTGGTGATGGTGGTAATTCATGAACTGTGTGCTAAGGGTTGGGGTACAGCCTTTAGTACCAAGGTCTGGACTCGTAAGTGACACCCTATTGCCTTTAGAAGGAGAGTGCAGTCTGTAAGGTGATTTAAAACCAGCCACGCTCACTTAGCCTCCCATTCTTCATCTGCAGTCACTCAGAAAGTGGTGAAGCACACGCAGACAGATAAGCCACCTCATTTTCCACTCATTAAAGACCGACTTTCCGGACAGCCCTTTAAACCATTTCAGGACAAGAGTGAATTAGAAAAGAATATGAGGTTTTATACCTTCTGAGGGTCTCCTAAGGAACAAGGCTGGGCCAACTCCGTCTGCCGTGGTCACTATTCATGCAATTACATGCTGTGCCTGCTAGGAATTCCAACTGCACCTGTGTTGGGTACCATCCCAGCTGCTCACAAGAGAGTATGCATGACAAAGCAGCCGAGAGGAGGAGTGTGGGAAAACGCCGATGAATACAACAGCCTGGATCATACTACTACTCACTTCTCAGCCAAATTAAGGTAATTGACCTTTCCTGCATCAAAACAGTCCTGGGAGCCAGGCTCTTCAGACAGCACCATGGGTGGAAAGACTTGAACAAGGCAGTATTAGTCAGCCACAGACAGACTGCAGTCAAGTAGTCCCAACAAAGATATTTGAATATCTAAAAATGAGTCCTCCCCATGTATAAATGTGTACTTACAAGTACCCACACATTTATAGAGCAGCTACATGCAGCTATATTGGAATATACTTAGTATAGCTATCAGTGCAAAAAGGCATTTGAGTGTTTTCAAGACACAATTTGTAGGACATGACTGACCTGAAGTTTCCTGGGAGAGTGGGCAGGCCTTTCTCCTCATTTATGCCACTGGCAGTGAGGGTGAGAATTATCTAGATAGAGGGGTAGCCTCTTTTCATGGCTCAGGGAACCAGCGACGTCAGAGCTCACCAAGAGTGAGGGCATGGCTACCACTCCAGCATCTCCACCGGACTCGTGCCTTCTGATTGCCCAAGAGCCAATATGAGTTTGGAGTTAAAAAATAAAATCAATTCAAACTCCAGGAAGATTAAAAACAAACAAACAAACAAAAATCTGGCTGCCCTCACCTTTGTTGCCTGCCAGAAACACAAGAAATTTCACAGGAAACATCCTTAAGGAAATAGGAAATCTTATAAAGGACAAGAACAGAATAGCCAGGTGGATGGCTGACTAAGTGCACTAAAACTCCATACTCAAACCGAAGAAGGGCGTTAAAAAGCCAGAAGTAAAACTTGAGCAATGATGACAGCTTCTCCCGTAGACTC